GGCTTGAAATGATAGCAATGTACTTTTAGAACAAGACAATATATAAACAAAAAATCAAAGACAAAACACCAAAACACATTAAAGAAAATTTTCAGTTATGAGAATAAATGTACTTGGAAAACTACAAGTAGTTATCAGTACTTTAGAGAAATCAAAGCATATTATAAAACCTACCAAATTCATCTGAGAGGCTTTCATTTTGTCTTTTTAACAATTCCTTTGTTTCTGGTATGTGATGAAAAAGTGTATCTGGTGAAGCTCATGGGCTCTGGGTATGAGGTCTTACCCTTCTGGCTTCACCAGTGAGGTAGCCACAGACATTCATGTCAACATTCCGCGCTTCAGGTTCCTCATTTAAAAATGGGAATATAAGACTATATCCTACTTAGCGGGACCAAAGGCACCTTTGATACATCAAAAGCACTAAATGAAAGTGTAATACTATTATTTCAACTATTAAGATGTCATATCCTTATTACTACATAGGAAATAGAATGCCTGGCATACAGCGGACTGTTGATACATACCTTTGAATATATGAGCATGTAAACAAATTTCATATGTTAGACTCTCACGTGAAATGCAACGTATGAATACTGATGCTGGCTATTCTCTTAAGAATGTGATTTCTTTTAAGAAACATGTAATTGCTGTTCAAAAACTGTGAAACAAAGTAGTTTATTTAAAACACTTTCCTATAACATGATAGATTTTCTAATTGTTGTTCCAGTATCATTTATAATACAGACTGAAAATCAACTGAACATGTAAGTGTATTCAATTCCCACGGAAATGATTGTCACGTTTCAGGAGAGCAGTACTGAAGCTAAGCTTCAGAAGCACAGGGTAGTTTCTTTTTAAAATCTATTTTGCCATTAATAAATAAATTGTCTAACATATTTGAGATCCTTGGATGCTGTGAAAAAAAAGAAAATTGGAAAATCATCTTTCTCAATATTATTTCTAAATGGAATGTTAAAATTTAAATTTATTTTGTATATATTTTACTACTTGAAAATAAAAATGACAGTTCTCACCCACTTTATATGACTTGGCTTAAAGACATCTTTTCCAGGTGAGAAATAAGATAGAAAATAATCCAATGCCTTAAAAACGTGAAAGGGGCGGGTGTGTGTGTGTGTGTGTGTGTGTGTGTGTGCCCGCCCGTGTGTGGTGACAGAGGAGAGGTAAAAATGAGCAAATCAGATTAAAACCACCACAAAATATTTGACCTAAACATTTTTAGAAGGAAGACATTAGGCTGGTAGAAGTTAATAGCTGACCTTTTACTTAACAAAATGAATTTACCCCTGTATCAGAATGTCTATATATTTATCTAGTGTTTAAATGCAATTTCTAAAACTCCAGGGAAAATAAGCATCAAAAGGTAATATTTTATTATAAATCAAATTGTTCACTTTTTAAATTCCCAATTTTCCTCCCAAATCCATATCCTCAAAGTTTTATGATTACAGGCTTTGTTGTCCCCAAATCAGAGTTTATTCTCCCCTCCTTAGCTGCAGTTCAGAATGTAACATCCAATTTATCTAACCATATCCACTGAAAAAAACAAAGTGACAACAAAACATCCATCCTCAGACCTATAATGAGCTAAGCATTTCTTATGTCTTAGAACATTTGACAAAAATTTAAAAAAACATGTGGTACAAAGAACTTAATAAATGAGTGTTAATCTATTTGGGCAAATTTATGATAGGAAAGTGATAACAGAAATAAAGGTATGAGTTGTAAATCAAGCCAAGCCCACTTATGGAATTTCTGCAGCTGGAGAAAACCTTACAAATATTATCAAAGAAAACATTATTGTACCCAAATGTAAGGTTTTTTGTTTTTGTTTTTGTTTTTGAGACGGCGTCTCACTCTGTCACCAGGCTGGAGTGAAGTAGGACAATCTCAGCTCACTGCAACCTCTGCCTCCCAGGTTCAAGTAATTCTCCTGCCTCAGCCTCCTGAGTAGCTAAATCAACACTTTTAAAATTTATCATCAGCCAAGGACATAAGCTTAGCAAGTCAGGACTTTTGTGTCAGTCATTAACTAGCACCATGACTTGAATCTCCAGGGACACTGGCTCCTTCAACTGTCAAAGGGTAAGAGCCTAGGAAGGATAATCCCTTCTGGTTCTAAGAACCCAAGTCCAAATGGACATTTGCTTAGCAAGTATTAGACTACCATCCTAGGAGCATAGGAGGCAGGACATATCCAACACCCCAGGCAAAATCCTGGTGGCTTCCCAGTTCCACTCCTCCTAGCCCCTGCTCTATTAGAGGAATTAGTACAAATTCCTCTAATAGAGCAGGGGCTAGGAGGGTGAACTTTATACTAAGTTTAATATTGAGGGACCCTGTAACCATATTTGCTACTTGAACACTTTATCACATTCAACAAAATAAAACCCTTACTCTATGGTAAAATGTGTATGCTGAATCGCATGCTAAAGGTTCTCTTGCATGAATGAATCAACACTCCATAGGGGAAGAAAGGCCTTAACACTTGGCATTTCTTGGTGTTAGGTCCCATTTTGTACAAGACTGAGGTCATACTTATTTGCTAGGCATTTTTCACCGTAACATCTTTATCACCAAATCTTCACCATAGGAAAAATAGTAATTTTGTCAAACTCGACACGTGTTTTGGACATAGGCTTTAGGGAACTTGCATTTCTCATCTTAATAACTCTAGACAGAAAAACATAATCAAGAAGCAAACAAAATAGTTTATTGAAAACATTCTGACTAGAGTATCAGATTCATAGAAAAATAGAAGATGATTCAGCAAAATATAAAATAACTCCCTCATTTAGAGAACAATTTACATTTTTTCATACTGTTAAATATTAAATTAATTTCAAATATTTGCTTTCACTGCTAAACTATGCTGAATTTTTAGAAGATTTTTTTAAGGAAAAGAATACTGTAATTATAACTGATGTTGAAATTGCAGCCTAGTTCCATCACTTAATGATTACAGTGAGGTATCCAGCCACAGGAGGCCATGTATCTGAAAACCTCTCTCTACAGAAATTCACCAATGTATGACTCCAAAACCAAGTCCTGAATTACATTTTGTCATTCTACTTAATGTTATAATTGTCTGTATTCAATTCATTTTCCATGATAACACTAAGTTAAATTCAAAATTCTATTTATAAGTTATAGTGAGGTGGAGTTTACTGGCTGAATGTTATATCATTTAACAATTAGTTCTCACTAACTGTATCAATAAATATTTGTACTAACATCTTCTTCTTCAGCTCAGAGTAAATGCCTTAAGTCTTTGAATATGCTTCCAAGATCAGTGGGACATCTAGTAACATAAAGACACAGGTGATTTCTGTACTGGGTATTTATATCACGTTTTAACTGAGTTTTTTGAAAGTTTATTTCCAGATCATTTCAAATTTTCAAGTGTTAGCAACCATGTAACATGTTATCTGGAGTCGTCTGCGAAATGAAGCCATTGAAGAGTCACCCTGCTTTTATTATATAATCCTATTGATTTAACTGTGTTTAACTAATTTAATTACTTTTATTTGATGGTTATAAATTCATGTCCTCTCTATTCCAAGGGAGAGAGAGGGAAGATAGGAGATTAGCTGAAATGACAAAAAAAAAAAAAAAAAAAAAAAGTGTACTCTGAATTGCAAGAAATGGACACTTAGCAATACAGAGAATATGTAACCTTTGGCTATAGCTTACCGTAGAAGAATATAGAAAGCTATTCATTATAAACTTAATTCATTTGCTTTATTTCTAAAATTTCTAAGAAACATCAAAGTAAAAATGTTAGACTGTAAGTTAGCCAATCTGAAATGCATGGAGTTTTTATGAAACAGAAGCGCAAAGCCCATAAGTTTCCTGTCAAAGGTACTCAATCATCATCATGAGCCCCACATTAGAAATACATTTTGAGAGTATCTACTACTCAGAATATAGCAGAAATACACTTTGAGATCTCCCAATTGCAGAAATGTATACAGCAGTCATACAGTTCAAGTTCAAATAACTGAGACTAATATTCAGAATTAAAACTCAAAAGAAAACATTAAATATTTGGTAAAAATCTAGGTGGACCAAGATTCCAATCACACTGTATCATGGAATGGCCTTAAAATGGATTTGGATACTGAGGGATGACTATAACATATTTACGTGGTGACCCCACAAGCAGCCCTTAACAGCAGATTCACGGCATCCTTTTTCTTTTGTATTTGAAATCAGCTGAGTTTCATCAAAAATGATGTTTGATTTTCTATTTATAGGCAGGTCGGCAGTCTCTACCTAGAGTTTTAGCTGCCGTCCACCAAATTTATTCTAAAGAAATCAAGGAAAATAATTAAAAAATATTTATTTCATTTCAAAAATCCCTGATGGTATGACAGGCAACTAAGAGAGGAAAAAGAAGATTCCACTTAAAAAACAGAAAAGAAGTAAACCAAAGCCAAAGAATTGGTCACAAAATCTGAATGAATTAACAACTATTCAACTTTTAGTTATGGGTAATTATTTTCATAATTATTTTTACTGAAACACTTTTGATTTTTTGGTAATGAGTAAAGTATCCAAGAACCGCACAGTTATTTTTTGCAGATAGCACTGACACTGCCATTCCCACTCAGAGAAGCTTTGTGGGAGCAGTACCACCTCGACTCTTTCTTAAATAAGGGCATTCAGGAGAATGTAGCCATCATACTCACAGCACTCAGAAAGAAGACAAATCTAAAAACTAGCCAGCGGAGTCTTCTGCACTGTTTTTCCTGTAAACAGTCCTTTGGCTCTTTTCCCCAAGGGAGAAAAAGCCTATAGGCTCTGTTCAGAACGAATCAGGCATATTTTAAAAGGTCACCAGTGGTCAAGTCACTTTGCATTTTTGGCAGATTCTTGCTTCAGATACCAGTTGCTTTAAACTAGGGAGCTTCATCAAACCTCAAATCAGGGTTGCCCATGATGTCTTATTATTTATTACATGCTATGCTAAGTACCTGTGAAAGGGGGCACTCCTTGGCCAACGAACTCTGATTCATATCTTTCAGTAAGTCCTTCAGAGCATTCCTCACTGTGGTGTGCGACCATTGTTCGGGAGGCAAGTCTTCTAGTTTGGGGCAACTATTTGAGACATAGATTAGAAAGGGGATTATTACAAGATTGCATCCTGCTGCAGAACATTCCTTTAAGACAGACAGATTTCATTTTGCGCATCAAACAGATGCATCTGGAGATTGCTCTCGGTCTCCTGATTGTTCCGATTAGTTAATTACTTTATACAACACATCTGCTGTATCGATGCATGAATTATACATCAGCTGCCTGTGGTGGCTATTTTTTCATGTTACTTCTACCTTCCTGCTCTGATGCGCTTGGGAAGACAATTTAAGGTGTACTGCTTTCTCATGAGCCATCGTGAAAAGCTTTAACGTATTAACCGATTTCCTTTCATTACTCTGTTCATACGAATTAAAATCGTAAAAAAATAAATAAACAAATAAGATTGTGGTAATAGTGAATAAGACAGTCTTTCACAAGATGTACACAGATGGCACTGTTCATGATATGCAAAAATATTTTTTTCTTAAGTAAACTTTATGTAAAATGCTTTCTTGTAATGCATTATTTAATTGACTAAACATAAAAAGTCTTGTCTTTTGATAACCTGCACAAACCTACAAATTTTGTGTGTGTGTGTGAGGGGGGGAGGTACTTTTAAATTATACACTGACGTTAGGAAAAAAGGCAGAAGGATAGGGTAACAAAATCAATCTGTATTAACCTTTCTGAAACACAGAGTAAAAAAAAAAAAAAAAAAAAAATTGAAGGTTGACCAGAGAGAGATGCTTCATTTCAAAAAGACCAGGTAAGAAGAACGTTTCACCCTAGATTTGCTGTCTTGACTCACCTGTGTAACTGAATTTTCAATGTGACCACATGATATACATCTTGAAGCATATCTGCTACTGTAGCATCAGGGGCATCTGTCACATAAGACAGTGGAACTGGATTCCATTTTCCAACCTGGATTAGCCCTATTTCAGATAAAGAGAATATGTCACTAAATATTTTACCCTCAGATACCAAATCTAGTAGAAGGGTCATCCTTTTTTTTTTTTCTGCTACCCCTACCACAAGCAATACTGTTATTTCTGTTTGAATGATTCCCTTCCCTCTAAAAGGCAGGTCAATGAAAATATTCACAGCTTAGCTTTCCAAATTGTAAAATTATGTAAATGACTATAGGGTTGTTTATTATTTTGGAAATAAAACCCCATCAATAAAACCTATGCATAAGGCCACATTTTCCTAACTTACAGGAAGTTCTAATAAGACATAGCTGAACCAGTTCTAAATGGCTTTACGATTTAGATAAGATTCTCTATTGCAGTGGGAATCAGCATTGAAAAATACTTTACAGCCCATAAAACCATCAGAAACAGAATAAAAGAAACAGAACTAGATATTCAGTCATAAATGCAAATTGACTCTCAACAGTCCATCTGCTCAAATACGCTCCTCACTTCCTTGTGGGTCCTCAGTGGAGCAGATTATTAAGGTCAATAAGCATACTAATGATTCAGCTGAAGTAATTTTAAAAAAAAAATCTACCTCGACATTCCACATGAGCAAAATGTGTGTTAACTAAACCAAACTGAATTAAGCCAATTTTTTAAAGCCACAGCCTATAAGGAACCAATGTAATACACAGGCTACAGTTCTTTGAATAAAAATATTCAGTGCTTTCTCTGCAAGGTAAACAAAGGATGCCAAGCAATTTTTCCAACCCCACGTACACATTATTTACCTTTGGCCTGGGCAGCAGAGCTATGTGAATAACCTAGAGACAGCAGTGCCATTTCTATCAGCTGGTTGAAAAGCATGTCCTTTCTCACCAACACAAATTCTGCATGCTCCTCCTTGCAATCATATTCAATGGCATTTTCATAATGTTCCACCACACAGAAAACCGGTAGCATGGTTCCTATCAAAAAGACGAAGAAAAAGAGATGGAAAACCAACAATCTTCAGAAATACAGCTAGAGGGAGGAAAAATTAGCCACGAAAATAATCACAAGAGATTCACTGTGCTTCCAAGGCAGACTGGGTACAGAACTACAGGCACATGCACACAAATATATACATTCCCGTATTATTTAAAGTTGTAAGAGAAATATTTAAGTAGAATGTGAACTTGGTCCTAAGTTGGGCTTTAAATTAACAGTGCATTTTCCAAAACCAATGAATGCAGAATTACCTTTCTGATCAAATAATAATGGTGAAGAAAGGAAATAAATGTGTCTTCTCGAGTCTGCTATGAGTATACAGCAGCAAACATAACTCACTAGTTATCTTCGGAAGGTCCTACATTCCTACTGCCTACATGATTTTGTTAATAATAAACTTTTCCTGTTTGTGTCCAAACAAATTATCTTCGACCGTGAAATTTTCATTTTCTTCCTTTTTTAGATATTAACTCTAACTGGTTCCACACAAAGTACTTAACCAAACTGGTGCTCATAATATACAATTTCAATATGTGCATAACGCACATAAATACCATTTGCTTTTATGAATACTTATTTAACCTACCTAACTAAAAAGATAACACAGTATCCGCAAGTCTTTAAAATCAACAATCTTTGTTATAGCAAATAAGATAAAAATGAGAGAGAGAAAAGGAAACTGACCTTATCAGGACATATTAGGATAAAGGAATCTGCATAGATTTGGTGTGCTCTCTCTTCATATATTTTAATCCAATAGTAACTCAGTAGCCAGATGATTAATAAGCATAAGCCACAGCACTATTAGAAAGAGGCTTCTTCTAGAAATTGATATTACGGAATGCTGTAGTACTCAAGGTGTTTATGCAGCTCACTGTCAGACTTCCAATGATAACGGAAAAGGGTTAAAAGCAGATGCATCTGAATTGTACTGTGGCAAACTGCCAGAAGGGTATCATCTTTAGCATAAATGATGACAAGGGTTACTTTAACAGGGCACCCAGGATCCACAATTAGTCCTACAATACTAATGCCTATATAAGCTCTGTCCTCTGGACTCACAGAATCCTACCAACTTCCGAAGATGTGTAGTACACAGCAACCGTAGCTAAAAATCAGGATTTCCTACTGACACCAGAGAGGCTCTTTAAAGATTCTCTATTTGCTTGTTTCTGTTGAACAAAAGCCGGCAATAAAACAGCTACATCTTTCTACATGTGAGTCTTCACCAAAGCTTTAGTGAACTGTTCACAAGAGATTCTAGCTCTGACAAATAAACCCCTTTAGGTTTACTTAGAAAAACTCACAAACTCATTCAGAGGTACCAATAGGATAGGCATGAAAAACAAGCTGCAGAGCTTGCCAATATTTTTGTCATTCATTCAGCTGTTTTATACCAGCGAGAGAACCCATCAGGGATCAGAAGACAACTTGGGGAGACTACAGCAAAAACAGCAATATGCAAACTGGTGATTTCTTCCTTGAAGGTATTTTGACAAAATCGCCTAAACAAACAAAAACATTCAATCCCTTTTTCTTAGTAGTGCTTTCTCATCTCAGCCATAATTTTCATCTAGCACCTGTCAGACAGAAACCACGCACAAGAAAAATAAGATGGAAATATTAATTAAAAACCCATGAAAAAGCTTTAGCAATTTGTTATCTGAAGTATCTGAGACCCTTCGACAATTAACCTGCATTTTTAGAATACATTCAAAAAACAAAACAAAAAAGCATTTGAGCAGGAAGTGAATTTACTGTACTTTTAGGTCTTCCTCCTTCTGTCCTGATATCTTCAAAGAGTTGAGTAAGTACAACAAAAACATGCATATTGATTCTTCCTTTTGTAGGATTAAACAGATGTATTCTACAATATACTCTTCCTTAGACCTATGAGCTGCAGGGTTTTCAAACTATTGAAATATATTGGATTTATTCTGGATTTTATCGATCATGTTTAGAGGTACCCTAAAATAATAAAGATGGCTATAAAGTAACAAGAGTATCATCTAATTACAGATCTTCTAGCAAACTGTTGCGGTTACCCTCCTGTTCCTGGGAGTAACGCTGAACATAAGCCTTCTCTGAACTGTCTGATTATTTGTGCTAGTGTTTGGCGAGAGTTCCAACCACAGCAACTTCATAACCTTCCAGCATTTAAAGGGGAGAGCACTGGTCACTGCTGAATGCTAAAAATACCACATGATTTAAACCTGAAGGCAGTCTTAGAAGCTTTTGCTGAAGGTTTATGAGCCTGTGTAAACAGCACGTCTGCCATAAGGAGCAGTGAAGTCTGTAGAATCCTTGTCTAAAACTGTCCTGGCATTAAAGTTTGCTGTGCAAATATCACATAATACCAGAGACAGCTGAAATCTCCTATTTAGGAATTTATGGAACTTACATGTTTGCAGGCGTCAGAAAGTCTTTTTTATAGAGCCCCAGTGCTTCACAGTACAATATTAATGCACTCTGTTTGAAAAGCCGTAATAAATTATATTTTTAATGCTCTTACCCTGGCTTTCTTAAGATGCATACATTCTTGGCAAACAATCAATAAATAGGGTAATCATGAGTAGAGGCCAAAGAATTTGCTGAAGTGCTGTTTTTCCATTTTTAATAGATAAAGATCTAACAATACGGACTGCTGTGTCTGTTCATTTCAGGATCAATATATTCTTTGTTTTCGCCAAACCAAGGAAAAAATAAATGATTGTATGATAAATGTTATGCATCAAGCACAATGAAATTCCTTTGCCTTCTAACTTTATCTACTTAATATTCTTGGTGGCTAAAATATAGCATTTTTAATCCATTGCTTAGCAAATGTAAGGAAAATCTGATTCCTATACATGTTATTCAGACACAGAATGAAGCTCCTTACGAGGCACAGGCATTACACCAGGGATAGGCACTGCTTTACAGGAACAACACTGTTAAACACAGTCAAAGTTGTTAAACTGCATCAATTTAATATTGGTAGAAAGGAGTCACACAGTTACACATCTTCCTCTTATAAACTTGCCTAAATCTTTCTTCATCAAGCATATCCAATTAAAACAAAAACTAAAAACTAGAATCATCAGATTTTTCAATACTAATGAATTTTCTCTTAAGAAAATAAGCCCACGAAAAATAACATGACAGAACTTCTGTGTAAGACTTTTAAGATCTCTGAAACTGCCTTACAGCCAAAAATCTTAGAAAGAAGCTAGGATAGCTCTCAAACCACCTCAGTGTTTTATTCTTAATCAGGTTAGTTTAAAGCAACAGCCGCCTACAGTCCTCCACTATAACACCTTTTGAATGGACCCCTGCGTAAACTAAGACCATTATATTTAATTCAGTCCTTAGAATCTGAAATGTCCAATGATTCCAGTCCACAGTAAAACGCTCCACCCAAGCATGAAGCCTATACTTTCTAACATGATTGATACTAAGGTCCCAGAAGGTAACTAATTTAAGATCAGAAAGAGAATAAAGGCAGAGTATACAAAACATGTTCTGCCACTCCACCCCCACACAATGTGGCCTTGTGTAGACACCAGGGCTTTCAGCTTTCCAGGATTTGGCTTGAAAGTATTTACCTTTCCTAAGGTTGGTTTTCATCAGATGGCCCGAGTGTTTTAAAGGCACTCCCTGCATTTTTGCACCTGTACTCCCAAGCCTTCCTCTTCCTAGTGGGCTCCCGTTCTGCTCCAGGCGGGCAATCTTGGCTGGTGGACCCTTCGGATCACTCACATTGTTAGACATTTCTGAATGTTCTTTCCCCTGAGTTGCCTCGTTCAAATGATCCATACTCAGTCACTGTCTAAAGATCACCTGCCAGAATTTAAAAAGAAAACATGTTATAATTGGTTGGGGACCTGTATGTATATATGTGTCCTATGTAAATGTTTTAGCTCTAGATATCTCTCTCTGCTAATATAATGTATTTGTAAAATGGCCTTTCTAGATATAATACAGATGTTACTATGTTTCTAGATAATAGCCCTACATTCTTATTCAAATTAACAGAATGATCTGTGGAAACTGTACCAATACACATGAATGAAAAGGTAATTGACCTATAAAAAAAAAAAACCAAGTGACGAAAAATGGGCTTACTTTTAGAATTATCAGAAGTATAGCTAAAAAGAAAACAGCAAATTGTATTTATGTAGTCCAAATTTTTAACAACTAGAAACTCATTACAAAAAGATAGCAGAAACACTTTAATAAAGGATGGAAAGATTATCAAGTTCAAAATATTAGAAATCTAATGTATATGTTTATATTTTTACGTTTTAATTCTTATTTTAAAAAAACACATAAACTATCTCTAAAGAAAGTAACAAACATCCAGCTGCTTTTTAAACTCCCCAGTGGCATAAGTTAATGCCTAGAAAAAGTTTTCTACTATCAAAGTTTCAAGAGTTGTGTGACTTGTTAAAGACCTAGTCAAGTTTTGGGTCAAACACATGATTGGATGAGTTTATCCCCCAAGCAAACAGAAAGAAGTGAAAGGTTTTCAAATATCCAATGTACTGATGCATTAAACTCATGTGTTTTAGAGTTAATATTTAGGTGTCCATTAGTAATAGAGGGTTGTTAAAAATAAATATTTTTTAAAAATTGAATATACTTCATGATATACACATTAGGCTGAAGTGCCAAGCTGAAGGAAAAAAAAAAACCTTGATGATACTGGTAAAACAAAATATCCAGTATTCAGAAATAACCTCAGCATGGAATGGCGTTAACATCGTAATTAACTTCAAAACATTAACTGATAATTATTTTCAGTTATGTATTAGACATCAATTTTCACATCATTTATAGTAAAGTGATTAGACAATATCAAAATCATTTTTAAAGTATAGTTTTACCTAGGATTGATAAGAACAGGTAAGTAGAATTATTTTATGAACTTTCATGGTATTTGAAGTATTGACCTCATAAAACTAAGGGTTTCATATTTAGGAAAACCAGAGAGAATAATTACCATTTTAATTTGACATAGCTTGTTTTTATTTTAAATTCTTATACTGAAGCTATTTAAATCTGGATTTGTTGAAAGCCAGTTTGTATTAGCATGGCTTTTCTGTAAACATTTTTTTTCTTCTGTTTTAACTATAGCCTACTTCTTACCATATAATCAAGAAAAGGGGAACAGCAATGTTAATCTAGAGGTTTAAAAGCAACCTTAAGAATGCCAATTGAAGAACTATAAAGTTTGAGAAACATTAATGGCTATTTATCTTTGTACTCCAGAGTGGCACACTGAGAACTAAAGGTTTACCGTTGATCGAGGTCCCATCTGTTTTTGGTTATGAGGTTCATTAACAATAAATGTGCCTTTTTAAACCACTTTTTATCAAGATTACTCTTTTCCATTATGTTAAACTGCAGTCTAAAGCCAAAATTAGAAAGCAATGATTATTAACTTATTCAAAACACTCTTTATAATGTTTCATGTGGATAATACAGAGCTGCTTTTTCTGAAATTGGTTGCCTTATCCTAGAGCAGAAGATGAATTTTAAAACATATTATTTGAAAAGAAAAAATCCTTAGCCCTTGGGGCAATTTAAGAGGGAAAAAGGGGGGGAGGTGTAGACAACAGCATCAAAGTTAATGCTACAAAACGTATTAAGTAATCATGAGGCTTAACAACACTATAAACTGTACAGCAAATGAAAGTGATATAATTTAGTTAATGTATTGACAATCAAAGTATCATATAGGTCATGCAGAACTGTCCTTTGAATACCCACCTATAAGCATCTATTAAACACTAGGTCATGCTGTAAAAAGCTGTACATTATAAACCAAAATTACATGTGCATAAAACACCCAATTTACTCATTTAAACTCCAGGCCCTGGCTAAAGTTCACCAAACCTCAGTTTGGAATAGAAAAGAGCAACCTCCAAGAGGCCTGCCTGGACTGACAGCAGTAAGAACTAACTATGGTCTCAACAGATGCCAGGCTGAAGAGTTTCTTTTGAGTTACACATGTTAAAACCCATTTTAGTGTAATGTCTGGTTGCCACACAGAAAGCAAGCTACTTTCTGAAAATCCCATTTCTCTGCCCATAAACTAACACCATATGATAATTACGGAATAAAACAGGGAACTCAGTAACAGCAGCTACTTCATTTAAAAAGAAAGAAAAGCACGAAATTCTAGTTTTTTAAGAACCGATTCTTTTGCAATGTGAGATCCTTTTCAATGAGTTTCTAGCTGGATCGCCTCTTTCGCCCCCACACAACCCCATAATCACATTTTAAGATTGTGCCCTTATCCATTCCATATGGCCGGCACGATCCAGGCCAAGCTTTCACTGTGACCTTTTAAAGAGACAAAGAAGCAAAGTACTATCTAGAAACAGAAACACTGCAGTTTTACTGAGTGAAATTAGCAAAACCGACCTGAAACTCACCACTTCAAAACTTGACAGCATATAAATAACAAAAACAAAGGAGATTTCCTTTGCAGCCCGGGTTCTTGAAGAGAAGTTCAAGACTGATGTTTTCTATGTCCTTTTTTTTTAATTAAAAAAAAAAAAAAAAAAAAAAAGGCAGCAGACCTGAAGGCGACTTCCCCTGAAATTGTATTATTTTCCCTTCCCCTACCCCCGCCCCCCTAAGAGGGGGAAGGGAAGAAATAAACGTATAGAAGAGTAGCCATGAGAAAGGGGTTTAGGAAAAAAAAAAAAAATCACGATTCGAAAACCAACATATATGGGTTTGTAAAATGTCTAACCTCAGAGAACGGGGTTTGCGATGGGGAGGAGGGGAGAGTGGGAAGCAGGGAGGAGGAAGAAGATAAAATTGATCTGACAAGTGATTCGTTGGGGGGAAATCGTAAAAACAAAGCAAAACCCGTTATGAGCTGTACACTGTGGTGGTGCTGGGGAAACGAGGTGGTGACTGAGGATTCTCTTTAAAAAAAAAAAAAAAAAAAAAAAAAAAACCACTGGGGAAAAGGTCCCAAAAAAGAAAAAAAAAAAAAAAAAAAAAGGTCCCTTCGCGTATCTCCCTCCCTCCTGCTAGCTCGGGTTCTTCGGTGTGAGGACAGAAAGTCTACTTCTGGCTGTCACTTGCAATATTATTCTCCAACAACCCCGAAGAACGCGCACTGGGAAGGCCACCTCGCCTCCCTCCCAATCACCCCCACCCCTCCGCAACAATCGCGACTAATATTAACAAACCTTAAACTTTTCCCCACAGCCTCGCACCCCCAGCGAGGGCATCTAGCGGGGGACAGCGAGGGTGGGGGGCAGAGGGTCGCGAGCAGAGCCCCGGAAAGGCACTAAAATGCCACTTTTGATTCCGCCCTCGCTGACAACAGCCCCGAGGACCCTCTCCCTGCCCATGGAAGCGGGGCTGTGAGCCTCTGGGGTCCCAGCAAGTGAGGAGAGAGGAGGTTCGGGGGGAGGGGGAGGAGGACGATCCGAAGGCACCCCCAGCCACCTCCACCGCCTCGGCAGCAACGAACTCCCCGCCCCCTCCCCCCAAAAAGTCGCCGAGCTCTCACTCGTCCAGAGTCCGGGGTAAACAACGAGCCCCACAATGGCACTAGGACTTGGGGGGAAAAGAAGCCCAGGAACCCCGACAAAACTGATCAGGAGTTTCCCGAAAGGAAACAGGGGGGCGGGCAGCGTCCTCTGGAGTCGCCCCGGCTCGCGGCTGGGCCCCCGGGCAGGCTGGAGGGCGGCCGCGGCGCTTGTTGTTGTGGCGAGGCCGGGTGTTGCTGGGTGGCACAGGGAGAGGTGTGTGTGTGCGCGTGTTTGTGTGTGCGTGCGTGTGAGCGCGAGTCCCCGGACGGGGCTGCGGCCGCCTCGCTCTCTCCCTCCTCGCTCGCTCGCGCCCTCGCCGCCGGCTCTGCCCCCATTAAACGAGCAGTGGACTCCTCCCGGCCGCTGTCGCCGCCGCCGCCGGGCCCCGCTCGGCTCCGCGCGTCCGCCCGGGCTGCAGCCCTCTCCGCCGCTGCTCCTGCTGCTGCTGCCGCCGCCGCCGCCGCTGCCGCTGTGGGTGCCTCTTCTTCCTCCTCCTCATTTTAATACAGAGTCACCCCGCTCGCAGCCCCAGCCCCGAGCACGCAGCCTCCTCCCGGCCGCCCGCCGCCGCCCGGAGCCTTCCCCAGCGGGGCCGGCTCCTCCGCCGCGTCCGGGGAGCGGGAGCGAGCGAGAAAGTGGCGGCGGCGGCAGCGGCGGCGGAGGAGGAGGGGGGAGGAGAGGAGGAAGGGGGTGCGGAGCCGAGGAGGAAGGCGGCGTGGGGGGGCAGGGTGCACGGAGCGGGCGGAAAAGGGATGGGGATTAAAACCCGGGCTGGAGGGCCGGGATTGGGGGAGGGGGCGGGGGCGGCGAGTTAAAAAGCCGAAAGACAAGTAACTAGTGAATGAGTGAGGGAAGGGGGGGAGCGCACGGTTTCCGGCCCCGGGCGCGCAAGAATTTGTAATGAGCTTGATTAGAGTGAGGCGGCCCGACATTTATTACACACAATACCCAGAATAACAGGGCGCCGCGCGAGGGCTAGCGCCGGCCGCCGCCAGACGCGCCAGGGAGGGCGCGGGGGGGGGGGGGGGAGGAGAGGGGGCTTCCCTGGCAGCGGCCGCCGGAGCGGGGAGGGGAGCGCGCGGGGCGCGGGCGGCAGGGGCAGGTGTGCGAGTGGGAGCGGGGCGGGAGGAGGGGCAGGACGGGCTCGGGGGGCTGGGGGAAGGAAGACGACGGGGGGGAGGGGGCGAGGGCCAGGGGAGAAAACTAACCAGCCACCCACACGCCACAAAAGCCACAAAAAGGAGTACGCCCGGAGCGTCGCGGAGGGACAGGCGAGGCGGG